TCCCTATGTTATCACAATTTATTAATGCCTAGATTATATTTTGTTTCCTGAAGCATAATTACTTACCATAAAATCTGTTCCATTGTTTTTAGTTTAAAAAGCAAGTATTAGTTTTGCTTCATAACATGACTGATCAAGGGAATTGTTCTGCTGAAGAATTGTCTGCTTTCATAGACCTTAAAGGCGGATTATATATGATTCTTCATTTATAAAAGGATCCCCTTCCTCAAAATAAAATAGTTCTGTAGTTATTGTATTAATTCATTTATGATTATTATGTTTATTTTTTAAATCTACACATTTTAGATGCAAATCTTTGGTTATCTTGTTTATTAATCACATAGTTAAGTGCTCACTGTATGTCTAGCATTGTATTAGATGGAGTATAGTGTGTCCCATGTAGTATGGAACATAAGTGTGAAACATATATGCTTTTAACATTTGTTACTAAAAAGAAATCAATGATAGGAGTTCTCTTATTTCTGGAGAAGAAGTAAGAGTTGGTTGTTAGGAAAGCATGCTAATTAAAGCTAATTTCTATCATATAACTAAGAAGTTACTATGATTTATGGGAAAGACAGTTGGGCTAGAGTGAGAATTCTAGTCCTATCTCTACCACTTTCCAGATGTGTAAGCCATTTCAGATCTTTGAACCTTTGTTTCTTCATTTATCAAATGAAAAGAGTAAGCCTTCCAAAATTCTGTGTATCTATATGGGTTCATGCTCCTTTTAAAAATAAAGCTAAATGCTATTGAACAATTAGAGAACTTGCAAAGAGCTTACTGGTTTGCTTGGGTTTGACTATCAAGCTCTAGAAATCAGGCAAGAGACCAATGTGTGCTGCTGGGAGTTAGATGCAGTCGGGGTTAGATGCAGAGACTTCAGCCTGGGCTTTAAAGGATGGGCAGGCTTGGAGGAGTAAAGGAGATGGCCTGAGCAAAGATACATGAGGAAAGTACTCTGGTGACTACTACAGAGCTACTAAGGAGACTAATAGGAATTGAGTGTATTAGTGAGTGAAATATTAGTGAAAATAAGTAATGACTGGATTATGGAGAACCTTAAAAAGTCAGATAAAGATGTCTGCACCTGTCATAAGAGGGAGTCAAGATAGGTTCTTTATTATTTTTTTAATTCAATTAGCCAGTATATAGGACGTCATTAGTTTCAGATGTAGTGTTCAGCAATTCATCAGTTGCATGTAACACCCAGTGCTCATTTAGATCAGTTCTTGATCTGAGTTAAGAGAATTGCTTTAGTATTCCAATATAGGATAGAATGCAGAAGGGCAGGCTAGGTTAAGGGCAAGACTTTGGACAGAAATGATTGGGGCTTATTCTAAGATTGTGACATTGGGATTGGTAATTTCAAGAGACCTTTTTTAATTATGAAAAATTTCAAACACAAGAAAATTTGAAGAGTACCAAAAACACTCATATATGCCTACCACCTAGATTCAACTATTGTTAGTATTTTACCATATTTTCTTTATTTATATGTGTACGTACGTAGAAATTTTGCTTTTAAGTTTTTATTTTGATACAATTTCAGACTTAAAGTTGCAAGAATAGAACAGAGAATCCCATATACTCTTCATCTAGATTCTCCAAATGTTAACCTTTCACTCCATTTGCTGTTACTATTTTACAGAATTTCATTTATCCATTTCCCTCTCCCTCCTCCATGTGCCTTCCTCTCTCTCCCTGAACCATTGAGTGTAAATTGCAGACCTGATAGCCTTTACTCCTGAATACTTAAGTGTATATTTTCTGTTTCTCTTCAATAGCCACCATACAACTCTCAGGGTTAGGAAAGTAACAGTAATGTATTACATTATCACATCCACAGACCTCATTCCCATCTTGTCAGTTGTCTCAATAATGTCTTCTATAAAAGAAAAATAATGTCATTATAAAAGAAAATCTTGAGTCATACAGTGTATTCACTTGTCACATGTCTTTGGTCTCCTTTAATCTGGAACTGTTTCTCAGTTCTTTGTTTATCATGATATTGACATTTTTGAAGAGCACAGTTATTTTGTAAAATGTCCCTCAGTAATAATATTGGACATCATATCAGGAGGCAACTGATGTTGAATTGTTCTGTCACTGGTAATGTTAACTCTGTATAAATATCCTGTTACTTCTCAAATTTTATCTAGTGTTAGCATCTATGGAGGATTCTTGCTTGAATCAGTTATTACTATAATAGTTGCCAAATAGTGATTTCCTAATTCTATCATTCCCTCTACATTTGTTAGCTGGCCTTCTACCATTAGGAAGGGTTTTCTTGTGCCCTCCCTCCCTCATTCCCTTCCTTCTTTCTTTCCTTCCTTATCTATATCATTGTGAATTCATGGATTTATGTGTTATTCAGTGGATTATAACCTTTCACTATCATTATTTATTTTGATGCCCACATTCTCCCACATTTGGCCAGTGGGAGCCCCTTGTATCTTTTCAACATGAACCATTCTTTTAGCCCTTTGTTACTTTCTGACACAAAAGGTGTTCTACATTCATTTTGTGCTTTCCCACCCTTAGTTAGCACTGAAATCAACAATTTCTCCAAAGAGCTCTAGTTCTTTTTTAGTGGAGAATAGTATTTAGAAACCAAGATCTGAGTATTTGGTGTGCTTATTACTTCTAGGCCCACTCAGTAGACATTTAAGAAATAGATGTACACATATACTTATGCCCATACATATATGTGTATCTATATACAGAATCTCACATACCTATATTTAATTTCTACATCTGCATTTGTCTATACATTCAGATCTATTAGAGTTCATACTCTAATCCTACCCTACACCACAGGATTAATTCTGTCTTCCCTATTTCCATATAGTTAATTCTGTTCTCCAACAGTAAGAAACCTATCTCTCTTTATCTACAATATATTTATTTATTTGATCACTTTTAGAATACACAAAAAGCAGTTTCAGAGCTACTAACCAGTGCTTCTGTGGAAAACAGGTCTACATATAGATTTTTTTTTTCTTGGTTATCAAATTATTAGCCTGGAACAGTAGTTCTCAACATGGAGCAGTTTTACCCCCAGAGGGACATTTGGCAATATATGGAAACATTTTGGTTGTTACAACTCAGAGGGAGTGCTGCTGGCATCTAGTAGGTAGGGACCAGGGAAACTTCTAAACATGCTGCAATCCACAGGACAGCCCCCAGAACAAAGAATTATTCAGCCCCAAATGTCAAAAGTGCCAAGGTTAAAAAAACACAAATATACTACTAAGAAATTATCTATTGAAGGATGTTATGTATGTATGTTTTGGTTTTTTTGCTAAACCGCTTGAAAATAAGACGTAGGCATCATGACACTTACTTCCTAAATACTCCTGATAATAAGGACATAATGACAAATCCAGAGGTGGGCAGCTAGGACTTTTGCAGACTCCAATGTGTGGTGTTGGAAGAGAAGTTTTGTAGTTGCTGTGACAGTTCTCCTGCCACTGGAAAATCTCTCTCTCTCTCTCTTTACATGCCTCCCCCCTTACCAAGAGACCATTTGAAGGAAGAATTGATAGGTTGACTAGAATAAATGAAACCAGAGTCAAATTTACTTTTTCCTGCAGGAAAAAGTTGGATATAGTCTGAGTATGAAAATATGTGTATGTAACACCTAAGACCTGCTGTGATCATATTGTGAAATTTTATTCTTAGCTCTTTCTTTTAAAGATTTTTTTTTTTTTTTTAAGATTTTATTTATTTGAGGGCACCTGGGTGGCTCAGATGGTTAAGCGTCTGCCTTTTGCTCAGGTCATGATCCCAGGGTCCTGAGATCGAGTCCCGCATCGGGCTCCCTGCTCCTTGGGAGCCTGCTTCTCCCTCTGCCTCTCTCTCTCTATACCTCTCATGAATAAATAAATAAAATCTTTTTTTAAAAAAGATTTTATTTATTTGAGAGAGAGAAAGGGAAAGAGAGCATGAGTTGGGGGAAGGGGAGAGGGAGAGAATCTCAATCCGACTCCTCACTGAGCCTGGAGCCCGTGACAGGCTCAGTCTCACAACCCTGAGATCATGACCTGAGCCAAAATGAGGAGTTGGACGCTTAACTGATTGTGCCATTCAGGCACCCTTAAAGATTTTATTTTTAAGTAATCTCTATACCCAACATGGGGCTTGAATTTACAACCCCAAGATCAAGAGTCACGTGCTCTACCAACTGAACCAGGCGCCCCTCTTAGCTCTTTTGTAATAAAGTTGTTATGCCTGAGCTACTTGTAAACCAAAGTAATAGTCAAATAGAATACACTAGAAGAATATGGCCTAACTGATGATATATTTATTTCAGGCAGTGTTCAATAGCAGAAGATATTAATACAGTGAAAGATGAGGGGAGTTACAAGAGAGTAAAGAAAGACATTAGGGGAGGGGGCATATTTGAGATGTAATGTTGGATCTAATTTATTTAGGTCACATTATTTAATAATTGAGCAAATATTTGTTATGTGTTTAGTGTTGGAGAAATACTGATGACGAAGTGAGCATGGTAGAGATTTCAGCCTGGTTTTTATTTTGTTCTCCACAAGGGGGAAATAACGCTAAAACACTTTTTCCTGAAGAAAAGTTTGTGTTTGTTTTTCCATTTCCAGTTAAGTTCCAAGTGAATTTTTTTCTAACTTGTTATCAAGCAATTTCAAAATTGATGAAGAAGAATGCCGTATGCCCATTTTACTGAACGTCAAGGCTTACATAAGCTCTACATGAGTGAAATGTATAATTAGTATTTATTAATATATATTTAATAATACCATTGCCATGAATTACTAATATATATTTAGCTGTACTTGTGTTCTTTCTCCAGGGTAAAATGACTAAAATGCTTAATATAATTTGCTTCTAAATTTTATTTAACTCAGTTGTGCTGTGTTCTTTAACTATGCATGTCTAAACATGAAAGAGATGGCTAATATTTGGTTGCAGAGATTATAGTGTGATACTAACTCTTGCTTTTAAAATAAACGTATTTTTGTCAGATGACTTGCAGGGTGCACAGTCAGAAATTGAGGCAAAACAAGAAATTCAGCATCTTCGCAAGGAATTGATTGAAGCCCAGGAACTAGCTAGAGCGAGTAAACAAAAATGCTTTGAACTTCAAGGTGAGATCAAGATTACATTGATTCTTTAGGGGATGCGGAAACAATGTGACATAACTGAGTCCAGAGGCATAGTATCTTGTTCCAGATCCACAACTTTATTAGCTATGTGATCTTGGAACATTCACTTACCCTCTCTGAACATATGTTTCAGACAATATAGTGGGGAGAGTTACAGTTGCTCTACTTCCTTCACCTTGTTGATGTGAGTGAAGATCAAGAAGGACCTGTACCAGTGAAAGATCTTAACAGTTAATTACATATTAAGTGCAACAAAAGGAAAAAACAATGTATTTCAATTTCTAAGTTTTAGTTACACCTAATGTTGTTCTTCAGTGTAAGATGAGGGAAATTTATATGCCCTGTGATTTTATAGTGTATTCTTCGGTAAATGGAAACAACCAGGCAAGGTAAAGGTATAGAATCGTGAAGTTTCCCAACCACTTTCTTTTCTAGTAGTTTACTTATCCATAGTGTCATAGGCTAGTGGAGTTGGTGATATTTATTCCCTAGAGCTTACATTTCCATATCATTCACAGTAACTACCTAGTTGCAGTCACTTGGTACCGTACAAAGTCTTAGAACAAGGAGAAAGTAAATAGCCTATGGAGTCCTCCTGTTCTCTAAGATGGACAACCTTCCTGATCAGGAGGAAGATTCACATCCCCAGGAGGAACTGGGAACTTTCTGTTAGTTAGTACTCACTTGGCTGTAAACATGAGGGTTTTAAGTCTGTTTTTAAAATTTAAGCTCAAAATGCTGATTAACAACTATCAAGAAGGCTCCTCATGTAAAGAATAACACATATAATCTTGGTGATATAAGGTCTAGAAAACTCTGCTACTTGGTTGAATAGATTGATTACTTACTACTGTTTTGTGCTCCTAAAATCTTTAAACTTTTAACTGCTAATACTGATAATATTTACTGCTTAGCTTTTGTTTCCTTCAATAAGCTTTAGGTGAGAATTTCTTAGAAATTTCCACCCGCTCAATTCTGAACACTTCCATTAACTCACAAAATTAGATATACTGTATTTTATTTTTATTTTTAGCTCTTTTGGAAGAAGAAAGAAAAGCCTATCGAAATCAAGTTGAGGAATCCAGTAAACAAATACAAGTTCTTCAAGGTATGGAACACCCCAGGGCTATTTGGGATTATTATTGTTTGTAGTGATTCAAAAGGAATGGAAAGTAAGAGTACAGAGAGTTCCCATTTTTCATGTCTTTGGTTTGTCCCTAGAATCTGAGACTATAACTAGGCTCTTGGTGGGCTTTTTGTTTTGTTTTGTTTTAAACACAATTCCCTAGTACTCTAATAGTGGACACTTGGAGTGGGAAGAGCATGGGTGAAGACATGGGTTTGGTAAGACTCTGGGTTATATAGTGAGTTGCTACAGAGGGGGCCTTTGGACAGGATATCAATTTGAGCTACTCTGTGCATCAGCACTTTTAACTTGGTGACATTATTTCTAATGCTCATAACATACTGCATTGAGGGGCACCTGGGTGGCGCAGTCAGCTAAACGTCGACTCTTTGTTTCAGCTCAGGTCCTGATCGCAGGGTTATGAGTTCAAGCCCAATGTTGGGCTCTGCACTTGATGCGGAGTCTGCTTGAGATTCTTACTCCCTCCTTCTGCCCCTCCCACTCGTGCTCTCTCTCTTTCAAAGTAAATAAATAAAGCTTTAAAAAAACAAACAAAAAACATACTTGCATTGCAACAAAAATTATATATCACATGGAATAGAATAATAATCCCTGCAGTGCCTTCATTGGTAGAGGCTGCTCTTCATACCCACCATTTTGCTATCTCTTTGTGTGAGCTATCACAGGTTCATTGCAGAAAAGACCAGAAAGATCCTTGCCTGCCAAGGGTTTACTTCAAATCATAGTTCTGGTACTGTTAGGCTCGAATTGTGAGAGCCCTAGGGGAGATCTTTCTTTCCCATGCTATTGTAAAATTCCTAAAGCAAAATTAATTTGTCTTCATTGTCAAAGAAGGAACTAATGTTATTTTTAAATTTTAGTTTGAGATGTAGGGTGAGAAGAAATTAAATAGACAAACTCAGTTCAGAAAAAATGGGGAATCATTGTATGAGGCCTATGATATTTGCCCTAAAATATCCCAGAGAAAAAGCAGTCTTTGGTGTTTTCTTTCTTATTTTTGAATGGGACATATGAGTTATTTATATATTTATTTTTAAGAGAGCAAGAGTGAGGAAGGGAGGGAGGGAGGGAGGGAGGGAGTGAGAGCGAGCCCGGGAGTGGGAGGGAGAGAGAGAACATTAAGCAGGCTCCATGCCCAGCATGGAGACCAACACAGGGCTTGATCTCATGACCCTGGGATCATGACCTGAGCCAAAATCAAGAGTCAGACGCTTAACCAACTGAGCCACCCAGGCTCCCCTAAGGACGTTTGAGTTATTTAAAAATTTAAATTTTATTATGGTCAAGTTAGAATTCCTGGGGTATATTATGTCTTTTTGAAGAGAAAATTCTTTAAACTCTTATAATTTAATGCCTTTATCCATTAGCTTATGTAAATTTGATTTCAATCTATATTTGCATTCTGTAGTGCGTATGGGCAATTTTCCCTAAAGGTTCTGTAACATAGGGCTGCCTTTTATCTTAAAGCGGTCTTATCTAGGCATCATTGAGTGCCCCCTAGTGCCAGCATGTGTGTTTTATGACATTATCCATAAGTGTATGGTCCTGTTAATCTCCGGCCATTGTGTCTTCAGATTCTGAACTTGTTAACCTCTCAGTGCTTCCTGCAAACTGCAGAGGCCTTATATTTTTTTTAACGCTTATTTATGGAGCAGCCTTCCCCTTTCTCAGCCTTAAATTCTCTTAATTATTTTAATTACTCTTTTCTACCTAAGGAACTTTTCCTACCTATAGTTTTCTTGTGTTATAGTAACCAAGACTATTTTTCTAGTTCTGAACCAAGTATTTTATACAAATTGTTTCCAGCTCAGTCCTTGAGGGCACAGGACCAGATCTGTTAAAAATACACCTCCTTGATTAGGCGTTATTCATTAATGTTGTCAATTCATTAATTCAACCAGTAATTCTTGGTTGTTTGCTAGTATTGAGGATAGAGTATGCATGAGATGTACAGTCAGTGGAAAAGATAAACCATAGGCAAATATAAAATGTGTCCGTAAAGGCAGAGTAATGGGCTAGAAAACGAGAGGGCTATTTTTAGATAAGACAGCAGAGAAAGCTTCTTTAAGGAACTGACATTTAAACTGCAAATTGAATCAAGAACATCAAAGATTTTACTAATGCATACCATCTGACCAAGCAATTCTGTGTCTAGGAATTCACTCTAAGAAAAAAATCAGGATTGCATTATAAGCAGTACTTTTGATAGTAATTAAAAACTGAAGAGCCTAAAATGTCTAAAATAAAGGATTAGTCAAAGAAGTAACAGTGTAATTTTTTTGTTATTAAAAGATATTCATCACCAGCAGGATAGAGAACATTATATATATTACAATCCCTCCCTGTTTTTGCTTTTATATGTGTATAAAATGCATATAAAAAATCTAGAAGAATAAATTCCAAATGCTAGAAACAACTTTCTCTGTGAGGGAGAAGTAAAAAGATCACTTTGGTTTTTTACTCTTTGTGTTTCTGTGTTTTGACATTTTCTGCATTAAACATGGATTGCTTGTACTATTTAATCAAAAGCAACAAACAGCTCCTCCAGCCTGGTCTAGGCAGTAACTATAATCCCATTTGGGCAGTTCATTTATTTGTAATTGCTTTGGACAAAGAATGATGGATCAATATACTTTTGTAGCCCAACTACAGAGGTTACACATCAATATTGAGAATCTCCGGGAGGAGAAGGACAGTGAAATCACAAGCACTCGAGATGAACTGCTTAGTGCCCGAGATGAAATTTTGCTCCTTCATCAAGCAGCAGAAAAGGCTGCTTCTGAGCGGGACACTGACATTGCCTCGTTACAAGAAGAGCTTAAGAAGGTGCGAGCTGAGCTTGAGCGGTGGCGGAAAGCAGCGTCTGAATATGAGAAAGAAATCACGAGTCTGCAAAATAGTTTTCAGCTTCGATGTCAGCAGTGTGAGGATCAGCAGAGAGAGGAAGCAACAAGGCTACAAAGTGAGTGTGCATATTTTACATAAAGCTCTTAATTCTTGACAATGATAACTTTATATCTTGCACAGAATAACGATTTGGGCTGTTTTTCTCTTTGATAACAGTTTGGTTGTATAAAGCAATGTGGGTTTTTTTTGTTTTGGGGGGTTTTTTTTAAAACAATGTTTTTATATTGGGGCTATAAACATTCTTCAGGTCCACAAGTTCTACAATAAATTGAAATTTTTTACAATTTTATATTTTATTTTAATACTACTGAACTGTTTTATAAAAGTGAAGTGGGAAGAAAATATTGCTGAAGTTCAAGGTGATGGAACTTACCTGAGGTATAGAGGCCAAATAAACAGAAACCAAAGAATAGTCATGTAAAATCTACATGTTTTTAAGGGGGGGCAAGTATGTTTTTCTTTGAAATATTTCCCTTATCCTTTGAATTATTATGGAAGTTATGTTCCTATATTAATGAATATGTTTTGGGACTATTTTAGGTGAACTAGAGAAGTTGAGAAAGGAATGGAATGTATTGGAAACCGAATGCCATTCTCTAAAAAAGGAAAATGTTTTGTTATCATCAGAACTGCAGCGGCAAGAAAAAGAATTGCACAAGTATGCAAGAACTCTTTTAGCTTCAAAATATTTCTTTATCTTAAATTTTCATCTAAATTAAATTTAAATTTGATACTTAAATACCTTTTTGAAACAAAATGTTCAGCCAGACTTTTTGGCTATTTGACAGGTTAAGCACACTAACAATACTTCAGCGGGTTTTTTTTTTTTTGGACTTCCCCCATCATCCTACATGTCCTTTCCTTTTGGTATACTCAAGGAATACACATTCGTGGACTACAGCACCCCCACCAAAGCCCTAAACAAACAGCAAAGATCTATACTTAGTGATTGAATTTGTCCCATAAACTAAATGATAAAAATTTCAAATATAAGTTGTTTTTCTTTCGTGTCAGTGAGTCCATCTATTAGGGTAATCAGGAAATGACTATAATAAAGAATTTATACCATTGAAAGATACAAATTCAGCTTTTGAATTTCACAGAGTTATATAAAGAGTAATAATATATAAAATCAAAAACTCTCCCAAACCAGTATGTCTTTCTAATATCCAGTACCTTACAAGCAAACCAATGAATGCAATAAATTTATGCCAGCAAATTTAGCCGAGTCCTGTTTTCCCACCAACATTTGTTGTATAGTTTAAAATTGATTTTTTCCTTAAAAATTTGATCCATTCCATATTTTTATTTGAACACTATGTTCTAATTCAGAATATGAAAGTAGTACCTGTTTATCATTGAAGCCACTCTCTTTTTTTCCCATTACAAAACAATCCACTTTCATTTTGGAAAATATGAAGTATTTTGAAAAGGATAAAAAGCAAGTATCAGGGGGCGCCTGGGTGGCTCAGTTGGTTAAGCGACTGCCTTTGGCTCAGGTCATGATCCCGGAGTCCCGGGATCGAGTCCCGCATCGGGCTCCCTGCTCGGCAGGGAGCCTGCTTCTCCCTCTGGCCCTCCTCCCTCTCATGCTCTCTGTCTCTCATTCTCTCTCTCTCAAATAAATAAATAAAATCTTAAAAAAAAAAAAAAAAAAAAAAAGCAAGTATCACCCATAATCCCAAAGTGTTGTCTGTGGCTCTTTCACATCCAAGAAAGTAAAAATAAACATATTCTCCTCGGATACATATAGAAATGTTTATAGATATGTGTATATACAGAGCTTAGTATGCACATATATTTCCTTACTTTGTCAGCTGAGAAGGCCTAAAAGTAACAACATTCCAGTAACCAGGAGCACACTCGGCACCCAGAGCTTGGTTTCTTTCTTTTTTTTTTCCTCAGAAACTTTATTGGTTATTTTTCTTTTATTTTATTATTTGAGAATTATTTTTCCCTTTTTTTTCTTTTTTTAATTATGTTCAGTTAGCCACTGTATAGTACATAATTAGTTTTTGATGTAGTGTTCAATGATTCATTAGTTAAGTATAACACCCGGTGCTCATCACAACACGTGCCCTCCTCAATACCCATCACCCTGTTACCCCCTCCCCCCACCGTCCTCCTCTCTGAAACCCTCAGATTGTTTCCCGGGGTCCCTAGTCTCTCATGGTTCATCTCCCTCTCTGATTTCTCCTCCTTTGAATTTCCCTCCCTTCCCCTATGGTCCTCCGTGCTATTGCTTATGTTCCACATATGAGTGAAACCATATCATAATTGTCTTTCTCTGCTTGACTGACTTCACTTAGCATAATCCCCTCCAGTTCCATCCATGTCAATGCAAATGGTGGGTATTCATCCTTTTGATGGCTGAGTAATATTCCATTGTATATATGGACCACATTTTCTTTATCCATTCATCTGTTGAAGGGCATCTCGGCTCCTTCCACAGTTTGGCTATTGTGGACATTGCTGCTATGAACATTGGGGTGCATGTGCCCCTTCTTTTCACTACATCTGTATCTTTGGGGTAAATACCTAGTAGTGTAATTGCTGGGTCGTAGGGTAGCTCTATTCTTAACATCTTGAGGAATCTCCATACTGTTTTCCAGAGTGAAGCCACTCTTAATTAATCCATTTCCCTCCCCACAGTACACCAGAAATGGGAGTCTTTACTCTTTTGTTAGCCTGTGTTTATACTCCTAAAGAAAATAAGGGTTAGCAGAAACTCAGTGAAGGTCAAGGTCAGTTCCCATAAAAACAAGCTTTAGGAGGAAACAAAGGACTAGACCCATTAGAAAATAGTAAGCCTCATTATCTGCTTAAAACAATAAAATTGTAATAGATTATATATTTTTAAAAATCAACTAGTTGAGGGTGCCTAGGTGGCTCAGTAGTTAAGCGTCTGCCTTCAGCTCAGGTCATGATCCCGGGATTCCGGGATCGAGTCCCACATCGGGCTCCCTGCTCCACGGAGAGTCTGCTTCTCTCCCTCTCCCTCTGCCACTCCCCCTGCTTGTGTTCTCTCTCTGTCTCTCTCTCTCTCTGTCAAATAAATAAATAAAATCTAAAAAAAAAAAAAAAAATCAACTAGTTAAAGGAAGAAGGTGTGCTGATTTTTTCTCTGAGATGCCTTCTTGTAATACCATGTAGTAACAATATTTATTGTGTCCTGTTTTTCCAGTCTTTTCATACATTTATGTGTAGTATTTTTTAAATGTTTAGAGATAATTAGTAACAAAGAGTAAACATGTTTGTAACATGTAAAATTTTGTAACAAGAATTCCAGAACCTGAATAGGACAGAATAAAGGCCCAAACACCACTGTATACACATGTGAGTATATATGTGTGTACCAACTGATTGTGTTGACAGCACATTTGGGCAAATTGTTTGGTTTAAAATGAGTGTAAGATGATGCAGACATTCAAATTCTTCATATTTGGAATCTTAGGGGATCCATTTAGTTTGCTATTCAATTAAGCAAGAAATAGTGATCTTTGATTACTAGTATTGATTATCTTACATTATTCCTGCCTTGGGATTATTGATATTTTAAAGATTTAAACTTGATCCTTCTTTTTGAGATGTAATTAATTAGAATCTGGCAGGTTGTTAAATGCTACATTTTGAATTACTTCAGATTTGTTGAAGTGTTGAAAAGCAGCAAACTCCTTATGAGTTAGAAGCATACAGTTTAAAAATATTAGGTCCCAGAAGGGTGGAATATATTATATCCTTAGTCAAAGTTGTCTGCCTAAACTCACATAAACTATTTAAGACAAATTCTGTTTCCTAAACTTTTCTGGTTTAGTGGCACTCTAACTTTATTTGGCAAGCCTCCTCAGCATTTAAGTAGTATTTAGAAGTTAGTCTTTCTTTACAGAGTCTCCTATGCCATTTTGTATATTGGACTGACATCACACCCCTTAAGAATTTGCCTGGCATACAATCAGAATGGGATTTATACTCCATAGTTCCTTCACTAACAATATTGAGTCTCAATCTTATGTTCCATTCTGAGAAGCATAAAACTGTCATCTTGAAAACTTTATTCTCCTTTAGCTATTTCTGTTGTAGATGGGATCCACATTCTTTCATACAGCTACACTATGTAGGTCTTTTGTTTTTTGTTGTTTGTGATGTAGAAGGAATTGAACAAAGAATTCTATTCCTGCCTATTAAGCTATTTTCCTACTGTGTAAATTGGATTTTTTTACATCAAGTTATAAAAGTAATTATAGAATTTAAGCCAAAGATCAGCCTCAGAAATTACTGAATTCAATCTTCTTACTTGACAATGGAGGGCACTGAGACTCTCCTTGTGTTACTTGTTTCTGTGTAACATGGTGCCTGGCACAGATCTCCAAGCTCAGGAAATGCTTCCTCAGAGAAGGAAACTGAACCAGTTAAATGACTTGCTCAATGTCCCACAACTGAATAGTGGCAGCACTGGGGTCTAGAACCCCGCCTCCTGGTTTTTTGTTTCATGCTTTTCCCCCAATTTGGTGTGTCTTTTCATTTGAGTAGGTTTATCTTTACTTGAATAGACAGTGACTCCTAAGCTTAAGTTTTTGTCCCCCATCCTATTTGTCAAATACTTAAACTAAATAAGAAAATAGTTGAAATATGTGCTGATTTCCTGGGGAAGCCCCACTCTGAATCTTTTTTTTTTTTTTTGAGAGAGAAAGAATGAGAGACAGAGAGCATAAGAGGGAGGAGGGTCAGAGGGAGAAGCAGACTCCCCACTGAGCAGGGAGCCCGATGCGGGACTCGATCCCGGGACTCCAGGATCATGACCTGAGCCGAAGGCAGTCGCTTAACCAACTGAGCCACCCAGGCGCCCCACTCTGAATCTTTTTATGAAACAATTAATATAATGTGATATAACAAAATATACAGTTAGTCATCTACTTTCACTTTTAAGATTTCAGTCTCTGTGCATATTTCAATCTGAAAATAGAACACAGCTTTAAACATGCAATTTTTTAGTATTTTAATGCTTTAATTTATTGAACATATCTTATTCTCTTTTATGTATTTTTCCCTCCTCTGTAATTTACTCCATCGCTCCTAGTGAAATGTATAAGAAATTAGACTTCCTGCTATGTCTAGTTTCTACATGAATTGAATAACTGTCAATATTTATGTTGCAGTTCTCAGAAGCAGAGTTTAGAGCTTACCAGTGATCTCAGCATCCTTCAGATGACTAGAAAACAGCTTGAGAATCAAGTGGGATCCTTGAAAGAACAGCATCTTCGGGATTCAGCTGATTTAAAAACTCTTCTCAGTAAGGCTGAAAACCAAGCAAAGGATGTACAGAAAGAGGTAAAGCGAAAAGACATTATGAGCCCAATTATGGTTGGACTTAAAGCCAAAAGCAAATCAGATATTCATGCTAGTTAGAAATAAAGGGAAGCAGAAGTCACATTACCTGTCACAAAGTTGATACTTGGAGCATCTCTGCTTGATGATTTCTAGCTATTTTTCATGGTCCATATATAGAGAATTCATCAGTAGGATTTGGTCTCAAAAATATAAATATACAAAATTACATTAAAATTTTTTCTCTACCAGTTAGTTGACCTATATGAGAAGCCCTTTGTATACCAGATTACTCAATTCATTGTTTATCTTTCAAAGACAGTATCATATTTAACTTAGAATACTTTCAAAAAGCAAACTGGGGCCACACCATAATGCTGTCCAAAGCCCTCAGTAACACTGGCCTGAAATGTAAAATTTACCTCATAGCCAGCCAGCCAAACACAAGTTCTGTGACCTTTTACTTTCTTCTCCTGCACTCCCACCCCATTTTCCCCTTCTTCTCCCCTTCTTCACAAATATGCATGCTCACTTTTCATGTCATTTTGCTTAAAACCTTGACTTGGGTGGCTTTTAAAAAAAACCATGTTAAAAATGGTGAGGGCTGATTTTGGAGTAGAGACCCACCCAGCTTCTTTCTGAGCAAAACCTTGAAGTTGACAACGGGGCAAGGAGAGCTGCGTTCAGTCCTGCTGCCTTATCCTACTCCCTGCATTGAGTCCTGGCCAGCTCAGGGGACAGAGAAGGCTGGTGCATCTTGACCTTCTGGTCGGGGCCATCCCAGTTGTAGACTCTCTTAAATGAAGGATTCATTATACATAGAAGGAAGTTGAAGACAACTTTTTGTCTTTAATAACAAATTTCCCCAAAATTATTTTTAGAAAATCTGTTCAGTCAATGCAGTTTTTCTTTGCACTTCCCTTTCCTTGTAGTATCCTGAACGTGGACATGATTATTGTTCTTCTGTCTTCATGTTTGTTCTTAACGAAAGAAAAAAAAACCTGTAACATTTTTTATTTATGTGTGGCCATATTGATTTTGTAATATGTTCGTTTCTATCTTCTTGCTAAGGATATGCGTTCTGGGAGCAATCTCATTTTATTTAGTTGGAACACAAATTTTGTGCCAAAGTAAATATCCTAGTATTTAATACTGTAAGCACTTTGTGTCCTTCCAGTCCGTATGCCATATTTCTTTCAAAATCTGGGAAGAATGCTGTGGTTGGAAGATGATTCTGTTGTATGTTACTCTGAATGCATTGGCCGTTTTGTTGCATTATTTGTTTGCCTGTTTTTGGTCACTGAGCAATCAGTGAGAAACGCTTTAACTGCTTCCACAAATGGGCAGTGGCATGTTGTCACAGTGTCTAAATTGTTGATAGCTTTGGATTGCATTAAATGCAGCACATTTAAAAATATGTGTGAACTTGTCAATATGTTTCTTTTCTACTTTCTTGTTCAGTGTTTTCCATTGTGAAATGATGTGTAGTCATCACACTCCTTTGTAATGTAAGATTGCTTCTCTTTCTGTTTGTCCTGATGTTAACTATTGGATACTAGTCTGTAACTAAAATGTTCTTTAATGAGATTCTTATATCTGTGTAATCCACTGCAAATGAATTACTACCTTTTATTAATGCACATATATTCTCTTTCAACATTTCCCCTTTGTTCTCCTTTCTCTCATAGAATCATGCTTAATGTGCACAGTATCATGTATCTTCAGCACTGTAACAGGCTAAAATATTACAAGCTAAGCAAGCCAGATATGATTATTTTTATGAAGAAGAACCAAAGGTGTTGGTAATATTGTGTGGTATTTTCCTCTTAATCAGAACTGAGCTCCTTTTTCACCTACGAGTTAGAAAGCAAGATGGAGCAAAATTGCTATCCAAGCCAGGTGTGAAACTAAGGCTGCAGAAGGTGACCTTTTGTTCCAACAATTAAATTTTATATGTATGGCAACTTGTATTTGAACATTTAACCAAAAAAAGGTACATGAGAAAGTAAATTTTAATCCTCAAGTATTAAGAGAAAAATAATGGTATATCACCTTTTTATCTGACTTAAGAAAAGCATCTTTATACTTTAGTAGGTATATCTATAATTTAAGAATTCATAAAACGTTGGTACACAAGTCCATGGTGCAAAGACTGACTCAGGAAAGCTGTCTGGCTTCACCACCTTGCTGTGGGGCCAGAGCCCCTCCCACCCTGCTCACAGGCTGAAGGTAAACAGCAGGCTCTTCCTGACTGAGCTGTCTTCCTGTCACTCTGCTTCACAGCCACTGGAACAGAGAAATGATTAAGTGCTTTGGTGTAAAGGGCAGGCTGGATGTAAGAATAGTGGAAAAGGAAAGTAAGGGAGAATTTAGGTCAGCAAAGCAGTTTTCACTTACCCTTTATTAGTCACTGTTAAGAATCAGATCACTGAGAATTGATTATGTTCTAAGAGACTAGTCTAGGCACACTGAATTTGTTTTGGCAGCCTGCTGGCAACCTTCTGCCTTCTGGAAGGAAGTCCACAGACCCCAGAAAAAAAGCTGTCATAAAGTCCATGAATCTTATTCCATAGTTCATTGTCTGACATACTACCCAGACTTGTTCTGGGAACACTGTTAGGTAACAGGGAATTCCTTTCACATTTTACCTCCCTCTCAGTACCCGTATCTTTCTTCCCACTTACTGGTGGTCTTTCTGCTGATGCTAATCCCCCTGCTCCCACCTCTTCTGATTAATGTTTTTATACATTTGCATCCTCCTTAGTACTTCTCTTTGGAGTACATAATGATGAGCTCCTAATTGATCTTTCCAGAGTATTTGCATTATTCAGAAGCACCACATAAAGGTGTCCTCTACTGAGAAATTTCTTGGAGATAGACTGAAAGAGGAAAAACCTTTGTGGTACGCTGGTCCCGTGGTATATTTATATTATATTCAGTCCTTGTCTTTCTTCCTTCTAAAACCTTCAGCGGTGGCAGAGTGGGGCACTGGAGGCTGAGACAGAGGCATAACCAACGGCAGAACAATTTTTGCTCTTTGACTGAGAGCCCAGCTTGCATGTAAGATGCAATATCTAGAAATAGAACCAGTCAGAATTCCTGCCTCCTCAGCACTTAGAGGCAAGCCGTACTATGTCTTGCATTGACCTCACCTGTATTCAAAGGAGAGGCTTGTCTGTCTGAACGTCAAATTATATTCAGTGAACAGTTTTTCAGAGCAGGAAGTTTCATGTTTCACTCTAGAAAAATATTTGTCAGGAACAGATTCGTAAAAATTATTTACTGATGCTTATAAGTTTTAGGTCGAAAAATAGAAATGTCCCAATCATAGTGGTTAGTACCTTAGATACATTTCTTTACATCATTTGCCTAGAAATTCATTTATCTGGAACACTTTACTACCCAGTGATGCCTGGGTGAAGAAAAGCCTGATGGGAGTTAGTTAGTACTTCTTACTTTAGGACTAAAATAGCTTGGCGGACATTGGTTACCAGGATATAAACTCAGACTTCATAACCTTGCCATTTAATTAGCTTACAAAGGTTTTCTGTACTTGCTTTTCTTTTCTCAGTTTGAAAATTATTTTACTTTTCTCCTCTAACTCACTCAATGGAAAGAGTGACCCTTTATATTAGAAACAGATGACACAGTGGTGATTTCTCTTTTTTTTTTTTTTTTAAACTCCAGGACCAGAAAGTTCTTACATAGACTAAAGTTAACATTAAAGACTTCCTATTATTAGTACAAATGATTCTTACAAAAACGCTTGACTTTGGTGTTGCAGGTGGCTAAATAAGGTCTGGTATTAAGCCTGACTAGAACCGTAACTTCATACCCATTTTAAGTTGAGTCTGCACACTCTTTTTTCTTTGCCTTTAGTATGAAAAGACACAGACTGTACTCTCAGAACTGAAGTTGAAGTTTGAAATGACTGAGCAGGAAAAACAGTCAATCACAGATGAGCTCAAACAATGTAAAGACAACCTGAAGCTGCTTCGAGAGAAAGGAAATAATGTAAGTCTTTGCAAACTTGGCTTAGCTTTGACTGAGAGGCAGGTGAGAGCCCTGAAATGGGTTTTTCAGAGGACTTTATTGCTGATTTGAGAAATTAAGGCCTGTAGTACATGAACTGAGCTTTTCATTATGAAATTCCATGATGGAATCATTGTGCTGTCAGATTTCTGAGTAAGAATTTGCCCCTTTAACTTGTATCCCTAGAAGAGCCTGAGCACTGCCTGGAGGAAGAGCCTTGTTTGCAAGAAAATAATTTACCTAAGAACTGTCAGGTTTTCCCAGATGAATCTGAAGTTCTGTCACTAAGCCATCGTCTGGCACTTCATTTCTCCTGCTCAGAAATGAAACACTAAACCACCAGGGACCCACCTAAGAAAGAGTAGTACACGTTGACTCCTGAACATTTGGCTGTATCAAAAATGGAAACTTAATTATGGTTTTCATTTTATACTAATAATGTTCTCACTAAGGCATATTCCTAAAAAGCTTAGTGTCTTTTTGACCTCCTATAAATATTTGGGAATATTTGTTGAGTTTCTGTAGGGCTGTGTGTGTGTGTGTGTGTGTGTGTGTGAGTGAAATTGGAACATTTTCATATAAATTGAGTTTACTATTTGTTTTTCATTTATTAGAAAGGCAGATGGTCTTTAAAAAGATGTTATACTAAATAAGTGTTGTGTTCTACGTTTTGGTGATCATTGCCTTTGTGGGCCCTAACTGATGGCTGTTCAGTGTAGTTGGTTGTGCTCTGACTTATTTCAAATCCCTGTCATGGCTTGGACACTGCAGTGGCATAAGCCATACTCTTCCTACAGAGGAAAGCACTCTGCTTGACTTTGCCGCACAAGTACAAAAGAGTGATGTTGCATGGCCATCCAGTTACACAGTTGCACACAGAATGCTCATGAGTTGTGTCCAACTGTCCTTCACTAAAGAAAGTCTTAGTTTTTTAGAAAATGAAGGCTTGTTGCTTAGGTGGAAGCCCTTCAGAAGTTGATAAATTGGGTATGGAGGCTTTATGCTATAAGCAAAATTGATTGTATTTATTTTGAAAATGTAGATTACAGAACTCTTCTGAAATCAGATCGTAATGGTTTGGTTACTTCTCTCTTTTGTGTTAATCATATCTTTCTGAGTATGGAATTTCAGTCCACCTTCTACTAAATTAACCTATGAAGACATCTAGCATAATCTGTACTATTTAGAGCCTTTCAAAAGTAACCTGGCTATTATTATTTATAGTTGTACCAATAATTGACCTTAAAGGTGAATTTCCTTTTTCTATGGTATTAGACTTAAGGTACTAAATTTTTCTCTGTAATAAAACTCATTGTAGTAACTCCTTCCAATTTTAAAAAATTAATTATATTCTGGTAATATAACTAAAAGCCCTGAGACTCAGCTGCCTGTCTTTATATATCAAATGTTTATCACACTTTGTGTCAGATCTCTTGCTTGGTTTAGGAAGCAGGTATCACAAGGCATTTTATTTTTAAGCTCGAAAGCAGTACCATCTCAGGCAAGAGAGTTTTGGTTTAAAAAAAGGTTTCAGTGGAGGGATAAAATAAACTTTAGCCATTTCCAAGGGACTACATTATCAAGTAATGGATTCCAGCTATGGAACAAAAGTAATGTAAGGTCAAGCAGAGCATTAGTGGTGAAGTGTTGCTGTTGCAATGTCTTAAAAGTGCTACATTTCATTAGGGGATTAGGGGCACCCACATTATCCACTGCCTCCAGCCGTCCCTTTTAAACTGGTAGTTACATACCACAGTCCCATCATTCTGGATTGTATTAGATGTCTTTAAAATGTTTGAATCAGTGCAAAACCTGAGTGCTATTACTTCTGTTACCTCAGTCTTCTTACCCTCCTTCCCACCCCCCTGGGGTCTAAATCATCTTATCTGATTTTTTTTTATAGCATAAAATGATTTTAATATCCCTTCCCTTCTTTAGCCTTCCATATTACAACCCGTCCCAGCCGTATTCATCGGCCTATTCCTGGCTTTCCTGTTTTGGTGTTTCGGTCCATTGTGGTAGAGAAAGGTACAAGCACTACTGTTGAGTCCTCGTCTGTTTGTCCCCGTCACCTGTTTGTGCCATATTTGTAATATAGTGCATGGCAAAACCACACAGGTATTTCGTTACCTGAAGCAAACCCTTCATTTAGTATGCCATGTATTGTGTCATACGAATGAATTGAACAATCAACTAATCACATAACATTTTGTCTTGTTTCCTTTGTAGTGCTGCTAACCATGAATTAATTCCAACTTAATCAGTTGTTAATGTGCTGCCTTTAACTGAGTCTTTGTCTCTAGCAAACTGGAGTAAACTAAGAACTGCTGCAATATTAGTACCCCCCCTCCCAATTACATGTTTAATCAGATTTGAATGAGAAATGAAGCGTTTGCCTCTTTGAAGTTTTCAGCCAGCTTTCTTCAACTCCTCCTCTCCCTCTTCTTTTCCATAGTGTAGAGCTTCTTTTTTCAACCCTTCGCCTACATTTACACTGTGGCTATGAAGATGAAAAAGGATGAGATTAGCATAATGGGCCATTGGCTCACAATCTCAACCCCAATGTGCATTTACTTATGAAAGTATAAACCTATCCCATATCTCTCTGAGCCTTGATCTGCAACATCGCATATTTCTTTAAAAGCCAGTTTTCTATATAAGACTCTCAGTACACTAGTGAAAATAAAGCTATCATCCAGAGCACGTTGATTTTATAATGCCCTCTGAAAGTTAACAGCGAATCGCCCGCCCATGCTTGCCTGCAACAGGCATGCATGTCAGTAGAACATATGAGATAATCCCATGACATTACTACATTGGACATGGTCTTTACCAAAAGTATCAAAGAGGCAAGGTCCTAATAGCACTTCTCTATCTTAAACCCCATCTGATCTTGTCTTCTGTGGTTTCACATTAGAGAATCAAAGCTTAGGCCATTTTCTTTGTTACCTTACCCACCAGCTCCTTGTATAAAACTACCCCAACATACAAATCTGGTTTTTATCAAGAAATAAACATTTTATGCAGACATATATTCCAGGCATCCGTGTACATCAGTTAGTTGTAATGTATGGATACTGGAGTAAGTAAAGCAGGCTAAGCCCACAGGGTTTCTTAGAAGTCACTATTAGGTTTCAACTGTAACAAAATTGAAAACTGCCCAAGACTTTCCTGAGCTGTATCAGGCTTCCACACAACCATCCTCGAAAAGTGTTCCTGCTGTCATGGCTCTCCTCACACCTGCACTCCCTCACCTTTCTTTCCTTTCTTTTTAAAATGTATTCTTATGCAAAGACAAGGTTTTTCTAATATTCTGTTAAATATTCAGGACTCTCTGGAACCAAGGGGTTAATAGGTATGAAAAGAGAGGGAAGAATGTGATATTGACTCTTGGTTTCTTTCCACACAGAAACCCTGGCCCTGGATGCCCATGTTGGCTGCCCTGGTTGCGGTGACAGCCATCGTGCTGTACGTGCCAGGTCTGGCCAGAGCTTCTCCATGAGAGCGTTTCTTGAGTCCGTACACCGTCCTCCCTTTAGAAGCTGGCATCACACTCATGCTGGGGACAAACAGAACCATTTTCTTCCTTTTTACCTCTTAAGACAGCAGAAGTGCAAGAATACAGCTGTAGGGTCATTGCTTTAAATTATATAAAATGTATCTATCTATAAAGAGGATATAAAATTGTGACTTTATTCTACTGTAAGCAATAATTTGCTTGCAATTTTTCATGTAATTTTTAAATTAGTATGTTGAGATTCTGAATATTATGGTGGCCTAAAGTAGGCTTCTTGGTACACCAAATTATTTATAACATTAAATTTATGGGTATTTTACTCTGAATTCTAATGGCCAGATAATTCATTTTTCTGATTCGATAACTACCCAAACCAAACAACCAATACATACATGGGAAGAGAGGCCCTGTGTGCTCAGTGCCTATCAGTTTGAAATATATACACATATATATATATTTTTTACATATTTACGCCATTTTTACTTGTTATAAAACCACTGAGCTATTGGGAACAAGACTTAGAGACAACTATTTGCGTGGACTTTTCTTTCTTTCTTTCTTTCTTTCTTTCTTTCTTTCTTTCTTTCTTTCTTTCTTTCTTTTAAGGAGAAATACACTTGGAAAATATTCTGTTCTAGTGATAATTTGGGGAATATGTGCACGCTTGTTCAGCCTTAATGTGACTTGACGATGTGGAGGACATCAACTTTGAAAAACTTTCCATGAGAGTGTGTATTTTCTTGAGCAAACTGAAGTATTTCTGGGAGCAAAAGCAGTAATTCTACAATTTCAGTGCAGTAAACCAAACTGTTGAGTCAATTGGAATGTAATTTATTAAACCTCATGTATTTAAAGAGATATTTTCTTTAAAAGCCAAGTTACTTTCTCATATACAGCATTTTAGGAAGCATGATTTTTTTTTCTATCATCTCTTCCTCCAAGCATGTTTAATTGAAGAAAGAATTAATATCTCTTTAGATAAGCTTTTACTGACTTAATTTGGTTATGATATTTCAAAGCTAATTCATGTTCAAGGTGAGCTGTTGTTACCTACCAACAGATTTCCTGGTTGGGTATGCAAATGGTTATTTTCTTTATACTGTTGTTAATTGGGACTTTCTGTTTATGAGAAGCATTATTCCCAAGATTAATAGTGTTCCATGCACAGTGAAGCACCTAAGCACTGCTTGATGTTATAAATTTAAAACACAGAAGTGAAAGTTTAGCTATGGTTTTGTGCGGCACCACAGTTATGTCAATAAAATTTATTTAGGTCATAGAATATCCTAAAGTATCACATAGTTAAATTTTTCAGTCAATGAAGACTGGGAGGGAATGTCAGTGAATTGGCTTGAATGTTCTGTGGCAATCCACAGGCCTAGCCAAATGTTGAAATAGAAGTTTAGGATATAATTTGCCTTGTGATGTTTGGCAGTCGTTGTTTATACTTTAAAGGTTATATTTTAAGCTATTTGGGATTTGCTGTTGGGAGGATCACTAGATTCATGGAGGAATTAGTCACAAATGACTTGTAGAAAATGCTGTCATATAGTTCATTTCATCATTTTCTGTTGCAGGAAGCCACTCCACCACAGAATGCTAATATGCCAGTGGTACCCAGTACCTCTTGTATATAGGTTATTGCAAATATTGTTCTGAAATGCTTAACTTCAGAATTACATTTTTTAAAGTAAATAATTGTTTTAAATCTATTTTGTAAAGATATAAAGTACAATAGAATTTCTGGAGTACAGATTAAACTATTTGCACTAACACACGTGATGTGCATGATTTAATAAAATAACTTTACTCTCCCTATGCATTTTTGAGTTGGGTATCATTGAAATTCTTAGTGTTGACTTTACTATTAGATTGTTAATAATCTTTTCTTGAAATGACTCCTAATGCAACATAATATATATTTGGTGTTCTTCAGGGTTTACTGAGCTGTTTCCTTCAAGTTTTATTAGCCTTTTATTTAACTTACTGCTCTAATTTTTTTCCCCTTTTACGATGGTTATTGTTAAAACATGACTCACTTGCCAGACAAGTCTCTTTAAAAGTAAAGTCTAGTATCAATATTTACTTTATTCAAATTGAATTAATGGGTTTTTGTAGTTACTGCCGTTTTTCTTAAGAATATAAATGAGCCTATTCATAAGCAATACCTCCAGTTTCATTCAGTTCACTTCCAGGTTAAATAAAGAGTACGATTATTCACTGGTAGTGATAGTCATTAAGAAATTTTATTGTATTTTATTTTAGATTATTTATTTATTTGAGAGAGGCAGAATGAGAGAGAGAGCACAAGCAGGGGGAAGGAGCAGAGGCAGAGGGAGAAGCAGACTCCCTGCTGAGCAATGTGGGACTCAATCCTGGGACTCCAGGATCATGACCTGAGCCGAAGGCAGTTGCTTAACCAACTGAGCTACCCAGGTGCCCCCATTAAGAAATTTTAATCATAGTAGTTAAGATTGAACAACCCTATAATGATACATTTAAGAATTACCCAGAGGTGCTACATGGCTGGCTCAGAAAAGGAAAGGAACGTGGCATGTGAAGCTAAACAGATCCTTACTGGCATCCTGGCTGTGCCTGTTAGCAGCTAATCCCTTATCTTCTCTCAGTCTCCATTTCCTCGTTTATAAAATGGAGGGAGTAATATCTATATGTATGAGAATTAAAAAGGTAACATATGTGAAGTGTCATTCGAGTGGTAAATAAATGTTTATGAGAATGTCACACTGGGAAAACTGCAAATATTTAAGTTTTAGGGGAACCAGTACAGCTGTTTAAAATAAATTGGTTGAGGGCGCCTGGGTGGCTCAGTCGGTTGAGCGACTGCCTTCGGCTCAGGTCATGATCCTGGAGTCCCGGGATCGAGTCCCGCATCGGGCTCCCTGCTCAGCGGGGAGTCTGCTTCTCCCTCTGACTCTCGTGCTGTCTGTCTCTCATTCTCTCTCTCAAATAAATAAATAAAATCTTAAAAAAATAAATAAATAAAATGAATTGGTTGACTCAACTGTTGAGACTTTCTACTTGTGTGAATGAGATGTAACTGCAGTATAATGAATCCCGAGAAAGCATCATCACCTAGCTCTGTTCGTCCCCTTCATGATTGTGTCTTTGGAAAGTAATATGCTTAGTTTGATAATGAGCCAAGGCTTACAACAGTTTGGCATTCTTGTTGCAACTGCCTTCAGAGTCACTCTGGGTCACGTGTGAAAACCAGTCACACTGCTGAATAGTCAGAGGCTTGTGACTAAAAATAGTATTGCCTCGCTTGATCTCCCACTTTAATCACCAGATCCGACCCCCAGTGATTCTCGGCTCCTTCCAGTGATTATATCTACTGTCAAAAGGATGGAAATCTGCTACATACAAACTACATACAAATCAACTTTGATAAAAATGTACAGCCTTGTTTGAAAAATTCACTTCTGGAAATTTTGAAAACATAATTGTGTGCACTAAATTTTGACTACCAGGACATTTAATGTAGCTTTTTTTTTTTTTTAATAGTAATGGGTAAATAACCTGAATATCCAGCAGTGGGTCGTTGGTTAAATAAATTAATATTGCCACCCTACAGATTACTGTGCTTGCAAAGTATATGGGAAGATATTCATAAGGTATATTAAGGTAAAAAGGTTGCCGGTGTAGAATAACCTTGGTTTTAAAGAAAAAATATAGACATATAGGATATGTTTATAGCAGGAGGACTCAGATTTATACCCAAGCTTAAATAAGTAGTGCTTCTGTCAGTATGATTGTGGGTCGGTTATCTTCTCCTTTTATAATTTCTGATTTATTTTTAGTAGTAAATATATGTTGCTTTTGTAAATTTTTTTAAAGTTTTTTGGTTTTGCTTTAAATTAGAAACAAAAGGTATTCTGCAGAATTCCAAATTGGTTTCCATAATCGAATGAGTAACTTGTCAGTACCTACATTTAAAGGGACTGGTGTTCATTTGCACTTAATGAATTCTGGTGTGTTCATTTCAAAATCAGACTTACACTTTTAAACATGCTTTGTGCATATGTGTACATAGAATTAGAATCCTAGAAGAGGCCTTAACTATCCATTCTCACCTTTTTGCCTATCAGGGAAAAAAATCCAGGGAATTTTTGACTCAGAGTAAGAATAATTGTTATAAAATTGAGAATTAAGATGATTACTTCGTTTTTTGCTACGCCACATTGTATCCCAGGCTTCAATGGTTTTATATCCATTCATTTAGCAAATACTTACTGAGTGACTGGTATGGGGCACTGTGCTAGGTCCTGACATTACTCCATCCCTGTGGTCACAGAGCTTTTGGTACAGAGGAGAAATAGAGGCAAGGAAGTTGGCATTTACAGTACTGTGTAGTAGAAGATGAATAGGAGCCAGTGGGACCATAGAAAAGGGGTACATTTCCTCTCACTTTCAGCCACCCAACCACCCAAGCCAGAGACATCTGGAGCCAAAGGTAAGTTTCCCTTCTAGGAGGACAGGGTAACAGGACTGGTTTCTCTCAAAGTACCTGGCTTTGCAAACCATTAAGATCTGAGATTGATTTTCCTAGAAAAGACATTGTGATTGGAAAGCATTTTTTAAAGATTTATTTATTTATTCTTAGAGAGAATCTCAAGCAGACTGCTGAGCAGAGAGCCCGACATGGGGCTCAATTTCACGACCCCAAGATCATGACCTGAGCTGAAGTCGAGAGACGCCTAAATGACTGAGCCACTCAGGCGCCCCTAGAAAGCATTTTTAAGGCATTATGGTCTGTCTTGGAGTTTTGCCCTGTTAAATGGTCTGAACTATACCTTGCAAGTAACAGGTTAGAATTAAGGTTTTTTTGTTTGTTTTAAGCCAGTGAAGTGTCATAACCAGACAGGTTCTTTGAAAGGCATCTCCCATTAATGGGCTGGGACATGGATTGGATGGAGCCCAAAATCCCTTGCACATGGAGGCACATGTTCACCATATCTTACTGCATGTGTTTATAGTGCTGCTTATCCAGGAGATTAGGCAGCTGCATATTTCTTCCTGAAAAGCATGTTTCAGGACGCCTGGGTGGCTCAGTTGGTTAAGCGTCTGCCTTTGGCTCAGGTCATAATCTCGGGGTCCTGGAATGAGCTCCGCATTGGGCTCCCTGCTCAGTGGGGAGCCTGCTTCTCCCTCTCCCCCTGCCTGCCGCTCCCCCTGCCTTGCACTCTTGCTGTCTCTCTGACAAATAAAATCTTTTTTCTTTTAAGATTTTATTTATTTATTTGACAGAGAGAGACACAGCGAGAGAGGGAACACAAGCAGGGGGAGTTGGAGAGGGAGAAGCAGGCTCCCTACCGAGCAGGGAGCCCGATGCGGGGCTCGATCCCAGGACTCTGGGATCATGACCTGAGCCAAAGGCAGACACTTAACGACTGAGCCACCCAGGCGCCCCCAAATAAATAAAATCTTAAAAAAAAAAAAAAAAGATTAAGCATGTTTCAGCCCAGATCTTATAATACATCATTTACTACCCCTGTCATGCAAGGACACCAGATCAAGTCTATGAAAAGAGAACATTGAAAATAAGTAAAAGCAAAAGTGCCTGGGGGTGGAGGGTGGGGATGGAGTAGTAAGGGAATTTTTGCTGGTAATGCTTCTGCTGTCTACAGTTGCTGTTGACTTCATCTTTTCATTTTGACTTCTTGAATTGGCCCAAGTACATCTAGGTAGCCAGATTTCATTTAGCAGAGATTCAGACTTTCACTCTATGAAATTACAGACTAAGGGTTTTCTTATCCTGCATTTTTATGTATGTCCCATCATCTTGTTCCACGTAGAATTTGAAGCAGGGATGCCTGCTTGAACAGCATACCTGTCCCTCTTAAGTTGGCAGGGATCCATTTCTGCAAGACTGAGAACACTTCTTGGTGGCAGGCTCTTCAAGCATCTAAGGAAAGGGCATCAAAGGCATGAAAAACCTCAGCCATTTCCACTTCTTGAATCCCAGGTTTCTGTTGTAAATTACTTCACCGTTGATCAGATCTTTGCATAATTATGCCATTCTAGTTCTGGCTGAAAACTTACTCTGAGATAATTAGCCCATGCTTATTTAACCACCCCCATCACAGAGCTCTCCCCATCCCCTGTCATGTACTCCATAACTAACTTTAAAGAGTTAACATGTTTTCGATATTTGTAACCAAATTTTTATTTTCCTTATAAAGTCAGTGTATGTAAAGCTGATCACATTTTCTTCTACGAACTAAATTTGGAATCGTTTTTAAAGTTGGACAGTCTATCTTAGCACTTCATGTAGTTAATAAAATCACATTTAAAAAAAAAACATGAGTGGACTTGTGGGAGCCAGTGCCTGTTGGAGGGGGCACCTCTGCACCTCCCCACAGCCCCATTTCCCTCTTAGATGATCCTAACACACCAAGGGTTTTTCTTCTCAGTGCTTCAGCATGTACATGTTTTAATCCATGCAACACCAGCTAAATGTTTAACCCCCAGTGTCAGTTAATGGTCTGACTTTCAATAAGACCATATTTAAGTTTCAAGCAGTTTGAGATGAGTGTTCAAATTGTACTTGTGGGGGCACCTGGGTGGCGTAGTCAGTTAAACATCTGACTCCTGGTTTCGGCTTAGATGGTGATCTCAGGGTCGTGAGATCCAGCCCCGAGGCAGGCTTTGCACTCAGCGTGGGGTCTGCTGGAGATTCCCTCTCCCTCTCTCTCTGCCCCTCCTGTTCATGCTCTCCTGCTCGCTCTCTCAAGTAAATAAATAAATCTTTTTTAAAAATTGTACTTGTGGGGGCGCCTGGGTGGCTCAGTCGTTGAGCGTCTACCTTTGGCTCAGGTCATGATCCCAGGGTCCTGGGATCAAGTCCCACATCGGGCTCCCTCCTTGGGGGGAAGCCTGCTTCTCCCTCTCCCACCCCCGCTGCTGTGTTCCTGCTCTCGCTATCTCTGTCTCTGTCAAATAAATAAATCTTTAAAAAAAAAAAAATTGTGGGTTAGTGCTCCATTTGAATGTGTATGCCCTACCCTGGAGCCTGTCCCTGACCCTCCCAGGCAGAGATGGGCACTTCTTCCTGGGCTCCACCTTTGTGCCTTTTGTACCATGGCTTGCTTCATCTCTTATCTGTTTACATGCCTGCCTTTCCTGCTGGGTCTTGACCTCTTCCACAGCAGAGGCCGTGTTTTATTTATCTGTATATCCCTGGTGTCCAGCACCATGTCTGGATCTTAAGGGGAGCTCAATAAACATTTGATGCAAAAAAAAAAAAACCACAAAAACCCCCAAAGCCATGAGATGTTTATCCTGGTATTTTCTCAGAACATTTCTGTCTCTCCATCTCTCTCTCCGTAAATATAAAATGGTTTGCTTACGAGGTCATTTCTAGGATTTCCAACTCTGCAGAAATAAACTAAGGTGTCAGGTAAGAGTAGGTAGATAGTATGATGGTGTGCTCATTGGTCTGAAATAAAATCAATTAGTCGCAGCAAACATTCTGTTACCATGGATGTAAATTTGTGGAAGAAGACCTTCGTTTGTTTTTTTTTTTACAGATTTTTGGCCTTGTTTTCAAGTATACCCTTAAATGCTACAATGAGAAAAGCTGGACCTTGTTTTCACCAATTACCAAGTAGAAAGGTACTGAATACGCATTTATTCAATACCTGCTTTGTCTCAGTGAGGCTTTAAAGTGGCCTATACAGATACCTAAAATATGGAATAGCGTGGTTGAAATGAGTACAGGAGGGGGAAAGAAGAAAAATAAGAATGAGGATATAAAGTGGAGTGAAAACTGAGAGAGAAAAAATTATTCTATGCCACCCTGCACATATGGCTCTAAGCTTTCTGATAACCAAGACAAAATCCTAGTCAGTTACCACAGTCCATGTCCATAAGATTAATAATAAATTGTTGAGATGTATGAGCACTTAATAGGAATTTCTCTCAGGGCTTTTTAAAAAATGCTTGGTATGGGGCGCCTGGGTGGTTCAGTCGTTAAGCATCTGCCTTCGGCTCAGGTCATGATCTCAGGGTCCTGGGATCAAGCCCTGCATCGGGCTCCCTGCTCCGCGGGAAGCCTGCTTCTCCCTCTCCCCCTCCCCCTGCTTGTTTTCCCTCTCTCGCTGTGTCTCTCTCTGTCAAATAAATAAATAAAATCTTTAAAAAAAAAATGCATGGTATGGGGGCGCCTGGGTGGCTCAGTCGGTTAAGCGTCTGCCTTCAGCTTAGGTCATGATCTCAGGGTCCTGGGATCAAGCCCCGCATCGGGCTCCCTGCTTAGCAGGGGGCCTGCTTCTCCCTCTCCCTCTGCCACTCTCCCTCCCACAAGAGAGAGCTTATGCTCTCTCTCTGTCAAATAAATAAAATCTTTAAAAAAAAAAAAATGCTGTGAACCTAAAATTGCCCCAGAAAATAGTCTTAAAAAAATGTATCCTATATGATATAGGGAGTCCTGGGTATCTTCTTTTCAAAAGTATTCAAAGTAGATGAAAAAGAATAACACCATTTGGGGCACCTGGGTGGCTCAGTCGGTTAAGTGTCTCCCTTCGGCTCAGGTCATGGTCCCAGGGTCCTGGGATCGAGCCCCACATTGGGCTCCCTGCCCCGCAGGAAGCCTGCTTCTCCCTCTCCTGCTCCCTCTGCTTGTGTTCCCTCTCTCGCTGTGTCTCTCTTT